GGTTTTGTTCATATACCCCATATTCATTCATTTTGTAAAATAAAATATCTTTTTCCTTTCTAATAATTCGTTCAAGTTTTTCCTAATGGAAGGAATTCAAGATTGGGGATACAATAAATATAGAACACTTTATTAAGATTTTTTTTTTAGTTAAAAGCATGTTATGAAACTTAGTATATTTTATAATCCAGAAGATTAAGCTTTTGACATTTCAAGGCTGTGGTAGAAAATGGTAGGAGTACAGAAGTAAACTTTAATTTGGACTCTTGTGTTTGCTTTGCCCATTCTGTCCCTATATGTCACTCAAGGATTAATTTTATGAAGTGTTGGAGGAGCTTATCAGATCAACATTACAACAGAGTTTGGTTAATATTAAATTCTGAGCTTTATTTTAATATGAGAGATGATATTAGAGATACCAGGACCAAATAAAAGAAATTAAAATATTTTTATACTTTAGAAAATGGAAAATTTTAGCTTGTTACAACATTTTATCTGTTAAAATCAATACATGTTTTTTACCTTTAGTTTCAAACAATACAAGTTTGACACTTTGTGATAATTTAAAGAAACAAATTGAATTCAAATTTTTTGCATATTGAATTTCAACATACTTGAAGAACTGAATACTATTTAATTTAATTTGACAATTTTTGTTAGACAGATGGCTCTCCTTTAACATAAAAAGCATATTTTGTTTTTCATTCTATCAAATATCAATTGATGAACTGTACACACAAACTTTTTAACATATTTGCACACAAAGTAAAAATGCTTGACAAAAATGAACAATTTTATTTACCTATGACAAAACTAGTTTAAAAGAACCTTCATGATATAAGAACTATATATTATACAATTTTTACAATTGCAGTGTACGTAAGAATGATTTTATGGAAAGATGCAAAATAACTGAAAGAAATAGTAAATGAAATGAAGAATTCATGGTTATTCTTTTGTTGAAATTGTTTAAGAGATTTTCTCCATATGTTGAGATGAATGAAAAGAATCGAATATATGTGGGACCAAACTATATAAATCAGATGCAAACAGAACACATTTCCAATTGAATTTATTATAATAAAATCTTTTAAGGTTGATACCCCTTTTAAAAAAGATTGAAAAGTGAAATGATTTGATCTCTTTGGAATAGTTTAATGATATATAAATTATATCAATAAAACCAGTAATTACAGGGAATTGTCATTAATCCTTAATCGTATTACCAAATGACATCTTTTTATGAGATCAACTGGTTCATGGAGTTTCTTTATGATTTATCTCTTCATTTTTACTGAATAAATTGACGTCTACAATCAATAACATTTCTCAACAAATCTTAAATAATATTGGGTGTAAATTTAATACTTAAATATAATTTATGTATATTAATTACCTCTGATTGGCCTTAAAGGAATTATCGGTAAATATTTTTAACACCTGAAGAATGCTTAGTTTACAGAAGCTATTGTATTATTTAACAAGGCTATTTTTAAAACATTCTACGGAAATCAAAAGAAAGGGAATGTAAAGCATTGAAATTTCTTTTGAAACTTGCCAAATAAAAGTCTGTTTAATATTTCATTTGATTCTTCAACATGTAGCGAACTGAATATTTTACTTTGTAATTGGAAATAAAAAGAACTGAATTGATTGTGTATGCAAATATAGGAATTATGAAAGTGTAATCTCTGTGTTTTCTCAATGGAAATGGAATATATTGTACAAATTCTGACAATATTTCAAACATAATAGAATGTTAGTCTCCTATTAAAAATTGATTGAGGCTATTCCATTTGTAGAAATGATATATAATAGTTCTGTTCTGTGTCATATTGTAAAGTGTATTTTTCATTTTAAAGGTAGGTATGTTTGAATTGAATATAGATTTTTTCTTTTGAATTTTACTAAATTTTTTTCTAGTCTTCAGTTTACATTAAATTATTTAGAAAAAAAAAACATTTAAAAATATTTCTGCAATAGCATAAGTAAAATATCTTTGTAAGCCAATGTAGCCCAAAGGGCAAGTGTGGGCTCTCTGAAACTGGCAATTCAGTTATAACTATGGAGCCTTATCAAGGTTGTGAGTCAATGAAGTAAAAATCAAATGATACAAAAAATAAAATCTGAAAGTGAAAATAACATAGTTTGAAGTATATATTGGTAAGTACAAAAAAAGTATCTATATCTTTTGAGTTCCCCCAGCCATCTTACACTGAAATTGGCCTGAGTTATCTGATAGTTTCTATACATGTATTAAATTTGTAATGAGGTATCCAACTTTCAGTTTTATATTACCAGTACATATGTACTCAAAATGAGTCAATATTAAGTAATTATGTCAGAGGAAGGATTTAGGCTCCTTGGAGATTCTATTTTTTCACTTCCAATTTCAGGGGTAAGTCAAAAGGGGTAAAGTTCTAATGTGTAGAAGAAATTTGGAAAAGTTAGATATCATGTGATTTCATCCCAAACTATTATTATAACAGAACACATATGATCATGCCATCTTCTAAAGTTTACATAACTTCACCTGTTATTTTTCCATTCTTAATAAAATAGCAAATTTCTTATAAGAATTATATAAGTACTTAAATTCTATAATCGGTTTGTTTATACCATAATAGATTTAAAACTTAAGTATGTTGAACTATTGAACTCTGTCAAGGTGGCAAAATGAAATGGAAAAAAGTATGTATGAAGTAAAAAGGAGAGGGGAGGAAAGGCATTTTTAAAGTGTAAGTGTATTGAGTGATTTTAATTTTAAGAAATACATCTTATCGTATTACATGTATCAACGCCAACTAATATTTAAGTCAATTTGAAAATAAGAAGATGTGGTATGATTGTCAATGGGACAACTATCCACCAGAGACCAAATGACATAGAAGTTTGTTTTGTTCATCAGAAATTATGTGTCTTTACCTACCCTTATCCCCTTCAGATGTTTTTAATACGTTATATATTCAGAATTTTATTTAAGTAAAATTTCAAGTTGTTTTAGATTATTTTCGTGATCCTATTTAAATTGAATATATCATGCATTATCAGTGCAGTTGCTTGCGTCAACAGAATTTAAAATTGTGAATGATTTTCATGATCCCTATAATAGAAGTGCCAATCGGAATTAATCTTCTCCTTTATGTTACGGTAGACCATATTGTTATTGGAAAATAAAATAGATTATCTTGTGGTCTTCAGCCGTTTAGGGTTTCGGTGGTATTTAAAACCATTGTATAGGTCTGTCATCACTACTCAAATTATTTGTCATCCATGTATTGTCTGAGAAAAAATTGTTATTATACTAGATTTATTGCACCTGTTGTCGTGTGTTTTAAAAATTACACTGGAAGGTAAATAGTAATTTAGATTTCTTTTATATTTTATAATTTTGTTTTGGAGGAGAAGAGAATTATAAAAATGCAATTAGATGGTAAAAATTATCTTGAGACAAAATATTAATACTCATGAGACACTCACAGAAAGAAAAGAGGAAAAAATCAACAAGTTTATATAAAGCGTGCAATATGGGGAAAAAAGGCATACTTATAACTAGATTAAGTCACGGTCATCCTGGATAAATTATCTGTTAAAAGAGATTGTCAAGTTACTGATACTGATATTTGGAGAAGACACTTTTATATTTGCTTTGGAGAAGACACTTTTATAATTTGCTAAGTACTGGAAGTTCATGTGACAGATTTTTTTGTTAGCGTTTTTTTTAATATTCTGTCTGGTATAAGAACCAAGCAAAAACTTCCCAAAAGGTTTACATTTTCAGTAAAAGTTGTATGGATTGCTGAAGATCAAATAAGTAATTGATAAAACTATATAATGTAATTAAGTTAATTGGTCTTCCAAGATAATAAATAATTCCTGGGGAAGTTATAACATTGTTATTAATAATTTTCTCTGAGATTGATATATTGATTTACCATAAAACATATACCACATATACAAATGTACTTAGGTATGATAGCAATGGAGTATTTCATTTAATCAAGTAGCTTAAAAATCTTTAACAATTAGTATTTAAAGATCAATACATTTGTGAAGTAAGTTGTTTTAAATCGTATATTGGTATCATTTGCACTAGATACTCTACAAATCCTTTAATAAAGTTCAAGATTCAAAACAAAATTTGTGTTTTAATCTGTAAAGCTGGGTTGAAGATGTGTCGTACAAGTTAAGTCAGAAACATTCTTAAATTGTTTCATATTTCACATGTCAGGGCCTTTTATAGCTGACTATACAGTAAGGGTTTTTCTGATTGTTGAAGGCTGTACGGTTGCCTATAATTGCTTACATCCACTTTATTTGAACTTTGGTGGATAGTTGTCTCATTGGCAATCATACCACATCTTCTTATTTTTATATTAATTTGCTTGTGTTTTTTCTAAAGATTATGTTTCAAATTTGATAAATAAAATGTAAACCTGGGGAGGGTTTTGAGAGGAAAAGATAAAGGAATGAATAAGATAGATAAAACAATAATTCTAACCATCTAACCTAAAAATCTGGTAATTGTATGCTTAAACAAAAATAAATAAGAAAAGACAATAATTGGACATTTTCAAATAGAAATATGCTAGAAACATTCTTGACTACTTCAGAAATACTATTGTAAGCAAGTACATGTAGCACGCTCTTAAAATTTTCCTTTTAAAATTTTTGTTTTAAGACTTCTTTTTACAATGTCTACATGCAGTAGTTAACATATAGGGAGATGCATTTAACTGTTACTAATGGATTTTCTATGTAAGACAAACTATTGAGACACATTTAAAGGTATAAAGACAATGACTTTCCCCTCATATGTAATTAATATTGTAGTAAGTAAGTTAAAGCAAAGGTAACAATGAAAATAACATTTTAATTTTTCAGGTATGCAAAATGGATTTTAATACAAGTTACCAGTATACTTGTGGATGATTGAAAAGGAAATTTGAATACTTATGTTTTTGTTGACCACAGTTTGTCAGTGACATGTTAATTAGCAGTATCCATTTACAAACAAGGGATTAATGATAAAAAAATAAACATGAGTATATCAAACCCTAAGTCAGTGACAACAATGTGTCTTTCAAAACCTAAATCAGCGTTATCAACAAAAAGTGCTAACGTACGTAAAACTAGTTGTTTATATAACAATCAGCGATATTGGAATAGACGCTGTCAAACTGCAGTGTGTAAGCCACATAGGCATGATAGAAGGATGGTGGAAGCTTGTTCTTATCATGTGGTTAGACAAATGGATCTTGAGGTATTACATCCTTTGCTTCTTTTAACTTTTTCCAACACTGCTCAAATGCAAAGTTTCATGTCAATATTAAATATCTGCTCCACTTCACCAGTATGACTGCACTTGCAACGGTCAAATCCCAAGCTGATGGTGGCAATATTTCAAATAAAAAATTGTACAGTACTTACTGTGACTTGACTGTTAGTGTTGCTCTCCACCAATTGCAATTTATTCAAAATTCTGACCAAATTGCAATTTGTTTTCTAAAACCAAACTGTTCAATTGGTCAGAAATTTGAACAAACTGCTGTAGAAATCCACAGTCAAGTCGTGAAAGTGCAAGGTGATAAAATAAAGCATACTTACAATCCTATAAGACTTTAATTCCACATCAATGTTATTATGAAAAATCAGTCTAACAGTTTCTTAAAATGTCCTGTACCAAGTCAGGAAAATGGCCATTGTTATATTATAGTTCGTTTCTGTGTGTGTTACATTTTAATGTTGTGTTTTTGTTGTGTCGTTGTTCTCCTCTTATATTTGATGCGTTTCCCTCAGTTTTAGTTTGTAACCCGGATTTGTTTTTATCTCTATCGATTTATGAGTTTCAAACAGCGGTATACTACTGTTGCCTTTATTTATGTTCCCTATGATATGATCTTTCTAGTTTTCATGCAAAATTAGAGTTTTTACCCCAATTTCACAGTCCACTGAACATAGAAAATGATAGTGCGAGTGGGCATCCGTGTACTATGGACACATTCTTGTTGATATTCATTTTGCCTTACTTAACAATTTTGCTTGTCATGTTGTCATTATTCCTCATAAGGATATCCAAAATTCCTTTATTTTTACAGTGGAACTGAAAAGTTAAGCCACAATCTAACATGCAAACTTACCACTAGTGAACCAACAAATTAAATTAAAGTGAAAGTCTACTTAAGAATTAAAAAAGAAGATACTGTTATCAAATTTACATACATATGAACAGAGTTTTTACTTGTTTTTTTCTGACAGAAATCCAGTTATTGATTCAGGGTTGTACGGGGGTAGGCAGCTCTGCTTCTTTCTGTCCAACAAAAGTTTTTCAAAAATAACTATGACTAGGGATGTCAACCAGTAATTTAGGACTCAATTATGGCTAGGTAGAACCAAGTATGGAATACCAAAATAATACTCAGCTAATCAGTTTCCTGTTTTTTTCTTCTTTTTATGAAATTGATTTTCTCATGAATGTTTCTCAGAGAATTAAATCGTTATCACTGATTGATCATAGTTAAAATATGTTTCGAAATTTTTGTGCGAAAATGTTGTTTAAAACCTCAGAAATATTCTGTTAGGAAATGCTAACAAAGAACCAAGATATATCCGTTTTAAGTCGTTGGCTACACATGAGTGCAGCTTTCCTAGGCTAAGACCTTTGCTATATACATGTGTCTAAGCCAGTCCTGCCACATTGGCACGCTAAGAGTTGATAATTTTGGCTGCAGAACTGTTACAAAGTTGTGAAATCTACTGTTGACAAGATAACATCAAATCCTATGTACCATATGACCCTTGTTGAATTTTTAAACGTATCGGTGATTTCTAATCATCACACCTTCGTTAATGTATTTTCTTTACAATTACAAAATGTAATTATTCTGACAACTCGGACAGTAGACAATGTTATAATGACAGGCTGGTTGGAGCCTTTAATTGTTGAGATCTGACCACTTGGGCAGAAGACAATATTATACTGACAGGCTGGTTGGAGCCTTTAATTGTTGAGATCTGACCACTGGGCAGTTGACAATAATATACTGACAGGCTTGGTGGAGCCTCTAATTATTGAGATCCGACCACTCAGACAGTAGACAAAGTTATACTGACAGGCTGGTTGGAGCCTCTAATTGTTGAGGTCTGACCACTCGAACTAAAACATTTGTTAACACAATATTCAAATAAAATTGAGAATGGAAATGGGGAATGTGTCAAAGAGACAACAACCCAACCAAAGAGCAGAAAACAGCCCAAGGCCACCAATGGGTCAACAACACAGCTAGAAAATCCCGCACCCGGAGGCAAGCTTCAGCTGGCCCCTAAACAAAAATGTGTACTAGTTCAGTGAAAATGGATGTCACACTAAACATATAAATAAACTAAAATTAAAAAACATACAAGACTAACAAAGGAAAGAGGCTCCTGACTTGGGACAGGCGCAAAAATGTGGCGGGGTTAAACATGTTTTGTGAGATCTCAACCCTCCCCCTATACCTCTAGCCAATGTAGAAAAAACAAACACACAGCAATACCCACAGTAAAACTCAGTTCAAAAGAAGTCCGAGTCCGATGTCAGAAAAGGTAACAGAAGAAACTAAGCAAAATAACAATGATACATGAATTAACAAAGGACTACTAGCAATTACTGACATGCCAGCTCAAGACCTCAATTAAACTGATTGAAAAATTATGTCTTCATCATATGAAAATCAAGCACAATCCCTCCCATTGTGGGGTTTAGTATCATACCATCATAAAATATATGAGAAGAACATAACCCGTATCAAGCCAACAACTGGTTTCAGAATAAATGTGTTTATTTCTGATGCAAAGACCCTATGAGTGAATAAATATTAATTCCAAAATATGCCATCTTTAATGACCTAACAACAGTACCGTAACTATATCCCTTCTGAATACGTCTGTTTAAAGGATTGGTTAGCTTTTGAGGTGAATGACGACATTTTTGTGCTTTGTATAGAATATTACCATAAAAGATTGGATGTGAAATACCTGAACGTATAAGATGTCTGCATGTTGATTTATATTAACAAATGATGTCCTTGTACCGATGATAAAATTTAGTAAATGTTTTGACTAGTTTGTGATATCGAAAACCCTGGTGTAATAACTTTTCAGTAATACAGAGATTTCTTTCTTTAAAATCAAATGCATTGTTACATACACGAGCGAATCGAACAAGTTGAGATATACATGGTGACAAGGGAAAAAAGGATAATTAACAACATGAAATGAAAAATCATCTCTGTTATTGTAAATTTTGGTATTAAGCTTCCCCTTAAAGATATAGATATCAAGATCCAGGAAAGGGCAGTGTTCATTGATAGTATTAGCTTTATTTTAAGTCAGTTCAGCAGGATAAATCTCTTTAGTGTACATACTGAAGCCGTTATTATTGAGAGCCAATATATCATCCAAACATTAGATTTTTGATTATGTCTCAAGGAGTAGCAAGGAGTACTTACAATTTTTACTGGTATATTAACTTAGAAAAAAATATTGTTTTGAGACTATGAAAATAAGGAGATGTGGAATGATTGCCAATGAGACAACTATCCTTCAAAGTTCAAATGAAGTGGATGTAAGCAATTATAAGCCACCGTATGGCCTTCAATAATGAGAAAAACTCATACCATATAGTGGGCTTTAAAAGGCCCTGACATGGAAAATATGAAACAATTCAATTGAGAACCAACGGCCTAATTCATAACAAAACAATTTACAAAAAACAAATATGACAGACATGAGCCATCGACAACCACTGAACTACAGTCTCCTGACTTGGGACAGGCACATAAAGAATGTGGTGGGGTTAAACATGTTTGTGAGCACTCAACCCTCCCCCTAACCTGGGACAGTGGTGTAACAGCACAACATAAGAACAAACTATAAAAATCAGTTGAAAAAGGCTTAACTCATCAGATCGATACAAAGAAGAAAAATATCAAACAAAAACACAGACCAGAAGTGGCAGTGTATTTATCCATCACTCATCACTAACAACAAAAAAGATACTAAGTACAGACCTGGGAGTACTCGCAGTAACTGACAGCTAGTTCAAATTTTAATTTTTTTTAGGGTCACAAAGCAGCACTCAACAATGCTGTACTGGTGCTAGGTATCCATAGGTCTAAATCGGAAGTGGATGTACATAGTGTTCAGTCTGATGTCTCGCATACGTCTAGTCATTATATGCCAAGGGAGGTAAGTCTATTCCAGAGGTACAGTGGTTAATATTACAGTGAAGTACAACATAATTTCATATAAGTGGGTTAAGTACTTGAACTTGATTTCAGAAACTCCAAACATTGTTTGATACAGTATTGTAAACTATTGTTTTGCTTGTACTTTTGTCTTTTTATCCCTGCCTAGGATAGTAGAGGGCATATTAAAGGCTGATTGTTTCTTAGAATCTATAAGCAATAGATCACCTATTTGGTGTATAAAATGATTGGAAGGTGTACACATCCGACTGGCAGGGTTAATCTGACCTTGACCTTTTCATGGTTCATTGGACAATGTTAAATTTTTGCAGTTTTCTCTATTTCTCAGATATTATAAGCAATTTGGGCCTCTATATATGGTGTATGGAATGATTAAAGGTGTTCAATTGCTCAATGTTAAGATTACATGGTTTTGTCCATTTTTTGGATACTATAAGCAATAGGTCAACTATTTTTGGTGTATGGAATGATTGTACATGTCTCTCTGGCAGGGTTCATCTGACCCTTGACCTCATTTTCATGGTCCATTAGTCAATGTGAAGTTTTGATGGTTAAGTCTGTTTATTAGATACTATAAGCAATAGGTCAACTACTGTAAACCAACTAATTTTCCCAAGCAACTTATTTTCGTGACTGTTGCGGGTAAAAAAATAACCAAATATGTAAAACTTTCCTTATTGAACTACATCAAGTTTATTTGAAAATCGCGAAATGAAGTGGGCTAGAAAGAGATAAAAGTGAAATAAAGTATCCGCGAAAATAAGTTGGTTTACAGTATATTTTGTGTAAGGAATGATTGCATGCTGAACATGTTGTCTGGCAGGGTTCTTCTGACCTTGACCTTATTTTTATGGTTTATTGGTCAATGTTCAATTTTCGTAATGAGATCTGTTTCTCATATACTATAAGCAATAGGCTAACTGTATTTGGTGTATAGTATGTTTGTAAGGCATCTGTCTGGCAGGGTTCATCTGACCTTGTCCTCATTTATATGGATCATTGATAATGTATAGTTAATTTGATACTTGTTATAAAACCTTCATATTACACACTTTCAACATAAATTCATTTATGATGAGTAAAGCAGGCAAGACATTTTAGCGTTTGTGCTCTTGTTTTAAATTAAAGATTTTTTTTAAAAACTGGGTGAATTAAAGTTTGATAACTTTATATACACTTGACCGTCATGATGATGTATTCTAGTTTTGTGTGTTGTTTGATTACTGTGTAATTGATTTATACCCTACACCTTTTATTCATGTAATGTAAATCTGACATTTTATATGTTTAATCAATTTAAATATGAAAGGAGGCAAGTTTTTCACAGTCACGACTGTCATAAGAGATACATGTACCTAGGTAAATCCTGGTGTCTCAAAATCTCCAACAAATACTTAAAAATTGAATTTTTTTTTTATAATTTTATTGCGGAGTTAAAGCACAATTTGTATGAAGCTTTATTTTTAAAAATGTGTGCACGATCAAAGCTTTTACAATTCTATAAATTATAAAAAGAACTGTGAATTTAAAGAATTATATTAAGCTTTTTGTTTGTTTTTCTATGCATTGTTTTAACATTGTCACTGATAGCACGTGCACGCATAGCTGTTGTATTTTATACGGAAATAAAATTTGATATTGGAGTCCCTTTCAATTGTTATCTTCCAATCAAAATTACAGATTCCAATGAAACATACATGTAATGTAATTTTATGTATATCAAAGATACCAAATCTTCAACAACTAGCCAAAGTGTCTAAATAGGGAATATTAACATGATGTTATGTTTGACATCTAAAATGAAAGTGGGCATATTTCAAGAGAAGTGACTCTTCCACAGGCAGTGACATAAAGAGCATGCCAGTTGAGTAATCTTTTCTTTTTCTTGCAGAATTCCCAAATTTTACTGTCTGCCAATACCAGTGAAATACAAAGAGAACGTCGGACAGCTGGTCTTAATCGTGAAGAAACAAGAATACCAACAACAAAGTTACCAAAGAAAGGACTGATTAAGTTAACCTCACTGGATTATGAAATGCAAGATCCAACGTATTATGACAAATATAAAGATGACTTGGATGGTAAGGTGACAGGGTTATAAATGATAAAATGGTAACAACAGTAAAATATCTTTATAAAGCACTCACACATAAAGATGACTTGGATGGTAAGGTGGCAGGGTTATAAATGATAAAATGGTAACAACAGTTAAATATCTTTATAAAGCACTCACACATAAAGATGACTTGGATGGTAAGGTGGCAGGGTTATAAATGATAAAATGGTAACAACAGTAAAATATCTTTATAAAGCACTCACACATAAAGATGACTTGGATGGTAAGGTGACAGGGTTATAAATGATAAAATGGTAACAACAGTAAAATATCTTTATAAAGCACTCACACATAAAGATGACTTGGATGGTAAGGTGGCAGGGTTATGATTGATAAAATTCAAATTGTGTACTCCATGCAATTTGGATACTGTGATGTTATATTGTAAAAAACTTTATCTAATATGTATAGTATACATCTTTGTTGCCTTCTGTTATTGAAGACTGTATGTTGCCCTATTGTTGCTGAGAGGTTGCTCTGATTGACATATACCCCACATATCTAATATGTATAGTATACATCTTTGTTGCCTTCTGTTTTTGAAGATTGTATGTTGCCCTATTGTTGATGAGAGGTTGCTCTGATTGACATATACCCCACATATCTAATATGTATAGTATACATCTTTTTTGCCTTCTGTTTTTGAAGATTGTATGTTGCCCTATTGTTGATGAGAGGTTGCTCTGATTGACATATACCCCACATATCTAATATGTATAGTATACATCTTTGTTGCCTTCTGTTTTTGAAGACTGTATGTTGCTGAGAGGTTGCTCTGATTGACACATACTCCACATCACCTTTTATTAGTTCACCTGGCCAAATTTGACCTAAATTAAACACAATCATAATTGGGGTATCTAGTTTAAAAAATGTGTCCGGTGACCCGGCCAACCAACTAAGATGGCCGCCATGGCTAAAAATAGAACATAGGGGTAAAATGTAGATTTTGGCTTATATCTCTGAAACCAAAGCATTTAGAGCAAATCTGACATGAGGTAAAATTGTTTATCAGGTCAAGATCTATATTCCCTGAAATTTTCAGATGAATCTGACAACCTGTTGTTGGGTTGCTGCCCCTGAATTGGTAATTTTAAGGAAATTTTGCCGTTTTTGGTTATTATCTTGAATATTATTATAGATAGAGATAAACTGTAACAACAATAATGTTCAGCAAATTAAGATCTACAAATAAGTAATGGTCAGTTGGCCCCTTAAGGAGTTATTGCCCTTTATAGTCAATTTTTAACCATTTTTCGTAAATTTTTGTAATCTTTTACAAAAATCTTCTTCTCTGAAACTACTAAGACAAATTTAACCAAACTTGTCCACAATCATCATTAGGGTATCTTGTTTAAAAAATGTGTCCGATGACCCCGCCCGCGAACCAAGATGGCCGACATGGCTAAAAATAGTACATAGGGTAAAATGCAGTTTTTGGCTCATATCTCTGAAACCAAAGCATTTAGAGCAAATCTGACAAGATGAAATTGTTCATTAGGTTAAGATCTATCTGCCCTGAAATTTTCAGACCAATTCGGCAACACGTTGTTGGGTTGTTGCCCCTGAATTGGTAATTTTAAGAAAATTTTGCAGCTTTTGGTTATTATCTTGAATATTATTATAGATAGAGATAAACTGTAAACAGCAATAATGTACAGCAAAGTAAGATCTACAAATAAGTCAACATGACCAAAATTGTCAATTGACCCCTTAAGGAGTTATTGCCCTTTATAGTCAATTTTTTACAATTTTCATAAATTTTGTAAATTTTTGTAAATTTTTACAAAATATTTTCCACTGTAACTACTGGGCCAAGTTCATTACAGATAGAGATAATTGTAAGCAGCAAGAATGTTCAGTAAAGTAAGATCTACAAACACATCACCATCACCAAAACACAATTTTGTCATGAATCCATCTGTGTCCTTTGTTTAATATGCACATAGACCAAGGTGAGCGACACAGGCTCTTTAGAGCCTCTAGTTCATATGGAGTTTAATTTTAAACCAGGCAGATAAAATTCAAATGATTAGGCTCAGTAAGACCCCTATTTGGCCCCAAATTATAGCATTTTTACAAATTTGTTTAAAATGTTAACTTTCAGCTATTTATTGGAAAGTAGAATACTTTTTTTTACATAAATATGGGCTGTTTTTTTGACAATACAATGCACATGTATCAGGTACTAGCATCATTAATTCATGCAAAATTACTGAAATATTCACAATTTTAGCATTTATGCTAATTTTTAGACGGTTTTTGTTTAAAATAAATAGTGGATGCACTTATGTTCAGTCTTACTGTTTAATTATATGTTGTATTTGATGATAATACATAACATAAATAAAGGTTGAGACTGAACACCGATGTGGCCACTTACATTTGAGACAAAAACCATCTGAAAAGTGATGTTTTATGGCATATTTGATAGATTTTTCATATTTAAGCTTGAATTTGAATCAACCCAAGTAGACACTTTTAAAGTGTTTAAAAAATCCCAAAATTAGCCTTTACCGGAGCTTCTCCTTTGTACTGAAAAAAATCTCCATGATAATTCATAACAAATTTATGGTACATCAGTAAAAATTGAAAGTGAATCAGTACAAGACTAATAAACATGATAAAGCATACATATTGACATATAACTATTCTTTAAATTTAAACTCACAAAACAGAATGGTATTAATTTTATGGAATGTTGACTGCCAATTTTTTCAATAAAAAGTTGTGTCAGACTGTCATCAAATTTGTCTGCTGTATATCTGCGGGACCCCTAAGATTTGGTTATTAATACCTGTTACTTGTGTATGAGTTTTCACTATCAGAAGGTGTGGTTGTAAACAGATTTGAATCTTAAGCTTAAAGATCAAGATCACGATAATGATTAATAATTACATTGTGTAAAAAAAACAGTTTGGTAATCATAACAGGAAATACATTTTGTTCTAAATTAATTTATCAATCATTTGCCTTTTTATATCAATTTTATTTTCATTATGTTTATTAGTAATGCAATGTTATTTTGTTGATTCTGAATTGATTTTTGCATTAGATTTTATTTATTTATTGAATTAGAGGATAGTTGGATAAGAAAGAAGCCTCTGGGTCACATTTCTGAACCACACAAACCATTAGTTAAAAAGACTATGTTAGAGCACATGAAGGAAGGAAAGAGGATGTTAGAAGAGCAGGAGAAACTGCATCATGAACAGGAGGAGATAGAAAAACAACTGGGGGAATATACTATTGCTGATCTACACAAAAATCTAGTGGATGTCACAACAGTAAGTAAGGGAGATAACTTATGGGCAAAAATACTATTGCTTTTGTACACAAAAGTCTGAAGGAAATAAATGAGAAAGGGAGATAACTTGTGGACAAAAATACTATTGCTTTTGTACACAAAAGTCTGAAGGAAATAAATGAGGAAGGGAGATAATTTATGGACAAAAAGACTTGCTTTTTTTGTACACAAAAATCAGGAGGAAATAATTAAGGAAGGGAGATAACTTATGGACAAAAATATTTTTGCTTTTGTACACAACAACCTGGAGCGAACCCTTAAATTTATAAGGGATAACTTATGGACAAAAAACTTGCTTTTATACACAAAAATGTGCAAGAAATCTTAAAGTTGCTACTATCATTTATCTACACTGAAACCTACAGAAAATCACTATAAGGTAAAAGAAAACTGTAAAAACATTTTATTACTGGTCTACTTTTATAAGATCTAATAGAAGTAACTGTACTAAGGGAGACAACTTAAAATATACACAAAAACTTGACAGAAAGTCAAAACATATACAAACAACTTGAGTAAGTCAAATATTAACAAACAACTTGAGTAAGTCAAAATATATACAAACAACTTGAGTAAGCCAAATATATACAAACAACTTGAGTAAGTCATTTATTAACAAACAACTTGAGTAAGTCGCTACAGTTTCAACACAGATTGCATTTTTTTCTGGCCGAGACCAAATGCAAGACAAAGGTATTACAATCCGGCAGCAGCGCAAACTTATTTATTTAAAGCTTTATATTTCAGAAGGTAGAAGACCTTGATGCTTCATACCTTATGTAACGAAGTTTCTTGCTGTCATAGGTTCTTTGTCCTTGACCTCATTTTCATGGTTCAGTGACTGCTTGAAAAAAAATTAGTTTTTTTTGTTAAGTGTAATTCTCACTTTTTATAAGTAATAGGATAACTATTATTTGGTATATGGTTCATGTCTGTCAGGTAGGGTTCACCTGACCTCAACCTTATTCCATGGATCAGTGACCAAGATTAAAGTTACGTGGTCAAGTCCGTTTCTCAGATACTGTAAGCAATAGATTTTTCTGACCTTGACCTCAATTTCATGGTTCATTGAACAATATTTAGATTTTGTTGTGCCTGCGACTTCTGTTGCAGAAAGCGAGACAAACTGATAGTGATCCGACGGCGTTAACAAACTTCTTAAGAGCTTAATATTTCAGAAGCTAGAAGACGTGGATGCTTCATACTTTGTATATAGATGCCTTATGATATGTAGTTTCCATCTGTCATATGTCCATTGTCCTTGACCTCATTTTCAAGGTTCAGTGACTTCTTGAAAAAAAAGTTAAGATATTTTGTATTGTTAGTTTTTCTCTTATTATGAGTAATATATTTGGTATGTGCATACCTGGCAAGGTCCTCATGCCTGTCGGGCAGTTTTTACTTGACCTTGACTTCATTTCATGGATCCCTGAACAAGGTTAAGTTTTCGTGGTGAAGTCCATATCTTAGATACTATAAGCAATAGGTCTACTATATTTGGTATATGGAATGATTGTAAGGTGTACATGTCCAACTGGCAGGTGTCATCTGACCTTGACCTCATTTTCATGGTTCAGTGGTTAAAGTTAAGTTTTTATGTTTTAGTCTGTTTTTCTAATACTGTATGCAATAGGTCAGCTATATTTGGTGTATGAAAATATTTTATTATGTACATGTCAGTCTGGCAGTTTTATTTGACCGTGACCTCATTTTTACGGTTAATTGCTCAATGTTAAGTTTTTGTGTTTTGGTCTGTTTTTCTTAAACTATAAGCAACAGGTCAACTATATTTGGTGTATGGAATGATTGTAAGGTGTATATGACTGTCTGGTAGGTATCATCTGATCTTGACCTCATTTTGATGGTTTATTGGTCAATGTTAAGTTTTTGTGATACTTGTAGTAAAACCTTCATATTACAGACTTTCAGCATAAATTCAATGATAAGTAAAACAGGCAAGACATTTCAGCATGTGCACTCTTGTTTTTATGATATACACATATTTGTTTGTGAAAGTCATTAGTTAGATGGTTAAATTCACTTACAAATCAAATGCTTTTCCTGAAACATTTAATTACAAAAATTATTGTGTTGTACCAAACTGCAGCTTGATTGGAAACTTTTACTCTGACAAATTTACATTTGAATTTAAGTTACCCTAATTTTAGTCTGATTTCACATCAGAAGGTACTTTGAACTTGTGCTTTTGTTATCTGTTATATCTTTTTGGTGAGTTTAAGTTGTATAGTGACTTCTATTCTACCCTCTTTTATCTATGTACCCTTTGTTTTTCCACTGTTCAAGATTTAAAGGAAGAAACCTAGGGTTGAGATCCCAATTCAGGAACCTATTGAACTGTTTTGTTAACTCTTATTTCAAATTCAAATCAACTGCACAGGAAAAATTAAAACTTTTATGAATACATATTTTTCTTGTCAATCATCTTTTTACATTTTAAAAGTGAGAATATTTTTAAGTATGTTTGGTACATCCATTTGATCACAAGCCCAGATTACATTTCTTTTAGATCTCATCAAATATATTCTACACTGTAGTCTTGATAAATTTTGAAGAGTGTCAACTGGTCTTTTGACAGATAATTGTGCCATACTATTTGCAAGTGTCTGTAATTTGAGAAGTTCATTCTTTAAATCTTGCACCTTACATTTCTGAACTATTTGTTTTATACGATCTCTGATATTTTTTGGTACAGGTAATCCATGGGCAATTACAAGCAACTTGAAACATTGAATATGTCTTAAAGCCTTCTTTTCAGGTCCAGAAAGATCCCCATCTTCACATTCTGTAGGACTCACTAATTCTACAGACACTTGTACAGTGTGAAGGGCCAGTTCAGATAAGGACAGTTTCACATTACCAATCCTTGAAATATTGTACATAGATGTTTTGGCTCCTACTTTCAGTAATCGCTGAACTAATTCTATGTTTGACATTGTTACAGCTTTTTGTAAAGGAGATCCAAAGTTTGAATCATATAAATTAACATTACAGCCATTTTGAATGAAAAATTCAATAACTCTTTTGTGGTTTCCATTAATAGCAAAATACAAAGAAGTGCGTCCTCGCTCATCCTGAGCATTTTGATCTGCACCTCTACCTAACAACTTGTTCAAGTAACATATATTTCCATAACTTGCACATACATGTAATGGTGTGGTTTTATTGTCGTCAGGTAACTGTACATCTGCTCCTTCTGACAGTAAATAGTCAACCATTTCAAACTTAAACTGAATAATGGCTTCCATTAAAGGAGAACGTCCCCAAACATTCTGTGCATTTATGTCAGATTTTTCTTTCAAAATTATCTTTGCACATGCAACTCCATTATGTTTTGCACGAACACAAGAATGTAATGGCGTCTCTTTCCCTTCAGCTAAACTGTTCACATTGAAGTTTTTTTCTAGCAAGTATTTAACCCATTCTACTCGTCCGTGTTGTACTGCGTAATGGAGAAGGAATTGCGGGAAGGTCTGACAGTATTGAGCAGATACTTCTGAATTATCTTGAATGAAGGACAGGAACTTTGTATCGTCACTTTTAATTGCTCTCAATACTTCTGCTTCAAGGTTTGATCTAGTAGTATCTCTAGATGACAATGATCCCATTCTTTACTGAAAAAACAAAATAGGATTTTAAAATTGAGTTTCACTTAAAATACATAACAGGAATTAAAATTGAGTTTATATTGTGATCTTTATTCCATTAATTGACTCCATTCTAATGTCATATACAATTATTATATGATAATAGTATACTGTGAATTTATTATTATTCGTGGGATACCAATGGTGGATTTTGTGGATGTAGGTGAACCACAAATTTAAGTACATGACCATCTTGGATTTTCTTTATAATTACAAATATCAAGTGGATGCTACTAAAATACTTTAAAATGCATTCAAATGTGCAGTCATACTTCTGGTTGCTATGGAAACGGAGGTTGTTAAAATTAGCACTAAAATCCTCAAATCTATTGAAAAAAAGGATTTTTTAGCGTTTGTGTGGTGAAAGTAGACAAAATACAGAATGTGTGATAGAACATTTAATGGTAATTTCTTATTATGGTACAATTGAAGTATAAATTTCATATTTCAATTAAATAAAAAAGAAATTATAATTACAAAAAAATTGACATTTCTGTGACATAGTTCTCCAGGTTACAATACACCATTAGATTTTATGGGCGCAGCCATTTTATGAGCATAACATGGTATTCAGAATTAAGAGTATAGCTAATCCTGATTGGTTGATATGTGCGCCCGTTATTTTTTGTTATTAGAGACTTCGTGCATTCTGCATTATACCAAAGGCCAAATAAATTATTTTCCTTAGCCCTAACGGAACTGAGATGTCTTTTAAACGCTAGAATGAGACACGTATTTTTATGTGCAAAATTGATAGGCATGGGAGATAAGTACAAATTACGCTAAGAAAAGCAACGCGAACCTATATTTTTTGGACCAAAAAATACTGTCCTAATAACTTTTCTTTAATTCTAGCAAGGTTTCGTTTAAAAAATCAACTTTCTAAAGTCTGTATCTCGAAAAAGGCTATCATTGTCGCCTATGGGGAAATTAATTGTTTATTTCAATCTATAATCTATAACAAACAACAAATTAAAGGCATTTTTGTGTTATAATAATTTTCAACGAAGTCTAATGTTTCTATAGGCTTGTATGCAGACTTTGGTAAAACCAGGAAATCAAATATCCACAAATATACCCTTTTTCCTCAATCAACTAAAATTGATACCCACAAAAAATAAATGATTCCACAGTAGTTAAATACAGAAATCAGATGATGTCACGGAGTTAACCTAAGGGAGACAACTTAAATTTAACTGCTACATGTCTAATGTCCCTTGAAAACTTGTTAAAGATATGCAGCTAACAAAAAGAAACAAAATGTATTTATTGGCTTCAGCTATAGATTTGTCAAGCAAGTTTAATGATTAAGCATCAGTAGATTTGGTAATATTAAATAATCGGAGGGATTGCACAAAGTGGTTATCCATTTTGTGAAATCAACTCCTCCTACTGTTTTCCCAGAAACTTTCACAGGAAAATTGCACACTAATTGAAGTTGGACACCTGCTTTTATGGAAGTGATTAAAAAACATTTTCTCATTGTTCCGGACTTTGGTGCTTGGACTTTTTTCAACAAAATTTACAAAAGATGGTACATAGTTGAAGGCCATACGGTGACCTGTAGTTGTTAACATCTATGTCATTTGCTGTCACGGTGGAGAGTTGTCTCATTGGCAATTATACCAAATCTTATTTTTATATTTACAGTAATGATTATGTGAAAAAAAAACATTCTAATGGAAAGCAGATATGGACCATTATATTATACATTGACATAAACAACAGCCAATGAACCATAAAGATTTGCCAATATTTAGAATCTAGATGTATAAACATGTGCATTAACTCGGTAGCATGAATTTAGAGACATGACCCTCTACACAAAATAACTTCCATCTTTGTCTTACAGGAGCTTGTTAAAAAGAAATCGGAGGAGATTGTAAAATCAGTAGCTAAACCATTTAATAAACATGTGACACAGAGAAAACAACGACAACAACCAGTAGAAAGGAGCGTCACGTTGCCAAGTATCAAAGATTTTTCATTTGGATGAAAGGACACAGGAAGAGAAATAATTGTTTTTATTGTTTTATCGATTGAATCAAGTGCAATTTACTCTTGCTCAGAACAAATTTATTTGTTGAGTAATTGCCTTTTGAAGGACGACCCTATTAATGGTTAATGATAAATCGTTTAAACTTCATTAACAATTTTGAAATAATAGTCTTCTTTGTAATTTTTGTTTAGTTTTATTTATTGTAGGCTAGTAAGAAAATCATATCATTTTTGTTATCATTGTGCTCTTGATTTTACAAGTGGATTTAAAGATTTCAGCCAAGTCTAAATTTTATTTAAAGAACAAACTTGGTACACTTGAATTTTGTTATTTATTACCATTAATTTATTGTTGTTTTATCAAATATGTACAACAATAAAAATGCTGTTTGTTAGATTTTCTACTTTTTATTTTATTCATTAATACAGTACTTGTAACATGTGTGTAAAGAACAAATGACAACTATGTGTAACCTTCAGATAAATATCTGTGAATATATCCATACTAACCAGAAAGAGAAACAAGACTGCACATACTGAAATTCTCTCCTGCTTTACTTATCATAATTGAACTAGTGTTGAAAGTCTGTAATATGAAGGTTTTACTACAAATATCACATAAATTTAACATTATCAATGATTCATTTTAATGAGGTCAAGATCAGATGAACCCTACCAGACAGACATGTAAACCTTATTAACAATCATACCATACACCAAATATATTTAGCCTATTGCCAATATGATCTGATTTGATAAGTAAGTAAGTAATATCATCTGAGAAACAGTCTGTAATATGAAGGTTTTACTACAAATATCACAAAAACCTAACATTGACCAATGAACCATGAAAATGAGGTCAAGGTCAGATAAACCCTGCCAGACACACATGTACACCTTACAATCATTCCATACATCAAATATAGTTGACCTATTGCTTATTTATAGGTTAGACAATACTTTTTGGTCTTGATTTATGAATATTTAAAGCCTGAGGCGTAGCGAAGGATTTTTTAAAATGTTCATAAAACACAACCAAGTATTGTCTGACCAATTTAGAACATATCCACACCTTCCAGTGGCATTGCACATTCATCCTTTCACATTGGTATTAATTAAACCTTTAATATGAGTTCACTTTAAAGTGTTAACATGGTAAATAAAAGGGATGTAAATCATATTTTATGATTGTTTCAACAGATCGAATGAAATAGCACTGAGATAGTTTTGTAAGGATAAAAAGGATAGATTATTGAAAACTGGATTATTTTATGTCTGCTTCAGGTAAATCTTAATACTAATATACCTCGCATTCGTTCATTTAAAATAAATGGGGAATATGTCCATGGGACACAGATGATGCCCCTGCTTGCATATCATATAAAGTTATAAAGGGACAAAACTGAAGAACAGTAAAAGTGATGTTACCCAAATTTGTACTTGATCTGAGTTTTGTGGTAATAAGTATTGTGTATAAGTTTCATAACATTTGGTCGAGGAAAACTTAAGTTAGAGAACAGAAATGAAAAATTCAGCAATTTTTCCATTTGTAAAGGGGCATAACTCTAAAACAGTAATAGTGATACCACCAAAATTCCATCTTGATCTATATTTTGTGGTAGTAAGCATTGTGTATAAGTTTCATAACATTTGGTTGAAGCAAACTAAAGTTAAAGAACGGAAACCAACTTTGGGACGTACAGACGGACAAGGGTAAAACTTAATGCCCCCTCTGCTACGGCGGGGGCATAAAAAAAGCCACACAAAGATAAATCAGCATTTGGAAAAGTTTAATAATGATAAAACGTAATCAATGAATATCAAAATTACGATCATTCCAACATCAGATCATGACGCTTACTTTTTAATCGATAAATGTATTGTTTTTTTTTCTTCTCAAAACTTTCCTGTAGTTTAAATATCAACAGATATTGTATCTTAAAAATATAATAGCATTGGTTCCAGAATCTAGTATTACATGTATTTTAATAAGATTAAATGCTCTCTTTTCATTTATAATGATTAAACAAACAAAAGTACTCATGAATGTTTTTCCTTTGCGCTGTTCCTATGGAAAATGTCTAAGGGGGTTAGTTGTACACTTCGTTAGTGCAGTGATTAAGAGTTCCCTAACATAATAAATCTACAATGAAAAGTCATTCATGTATAGCATTTTATAGTGCATGGAAGTCATCTATTATGAAAAATAGGAGAAAAACATAACTTTCCATTGGACGAGAAGGGGTGAGTATGTTTTTAAGTATCCAATATTGACAAAACCATAAAAATTTAACATTGACCAATGAACCATGAAAATGAGGTCAAGGTCATGTGAAACCTGCCAGACCTGCCTTTGCAAAAATAAAGGAAAATGAGAAACAAGTTGGTGTTTATAGTTCTTGAGATAAATGGCAAAAACATATAAATTTGTCAAAAATCTTCATTTAAGGACCAAAACTCCTGTTGGAGTCATCCGAAGGGTTTGTCATATTGACATTTCTGTAGATTGTATGGTTGATCATTTTAGCCATTCACAGTTTCTATCTATCTATTATAATTTTCAGGGCAAAAACAGGAAAATTTGTCAAAAATCATCATCTTATGGCAATTAACTCCAATATGAATTATTTGATAATTATGGTTAAAATTGGAAGTATGTGTATCTTGACATTCGGAGCATTTTTGTCCCAGTCATATTTTCTCTATTATGATTTTCAAGGTATAAGGCAATTCATAAAACTGAGAATGGAAATGGGGAATATGTCAAAGAGACAACAACCCGACCCTCATTTTACCCTTATGTTCTATTTTAGTCATGGTGGCCATGACTTGGAAAAAAACTCACTAATTTGTAAAAGATACCCTTAGGATCATTCACCCAAAGTTTTCAGTGAAAGTTTTATTGATGTTGGGGAAGTAGATTGACAACGATTGACACCCAGTGATGGCAATAGCTCACATGGTCCTATGGGCAAGGTGATCTAAAATTGGACTGCCCAGTACAACAGAGCACATGAATCACCAACAAAGGATAGTATATTTCATTTTAAATTATCTGCACTTCTTATAATACAGTAAGTAGTTTTCTTTAAATTCTAATATGAAACTCTGACTCTTTTTTGGCTAAAGCAAATGTAAACAAAGCCACATTTTAATTCAAATGTAATGTTGGTTGTATTTTGAATGACAACAGGAGCTGCTTGTCATTCAATTCAATAAAGTCTTTAAAATTAAGTCTATTTATACAATGGTACACTATAAAAATGTGATAGTTAATTTAGAACTTAATTCTTTACTTCATTTCAAAATTTAAATTCTTTACTTCATTTCAAAATTTAATCCCTACTAGAATTGGAAGCCAAAGCTGTTTCTCAGATTTAGCTATCCAAACAATCATTTTGTGGACAGCCAAATCTCTGAACTCTGAATTTCAATATTCCCGAATCATGTGATTTAGGTAGAGAAAAAGGCTATAAACGGTTAGATAAAAATCCATGCATACAAAAAAGAATGAGTAATCAGTATTCTGATGTTAGGCTGGGAATAGTCATTCTCTTTAATTTATATAAATGGTTGTAGCCTGTTATCTATTTCTAGCATGAAGAGATATTTCTCGTATCACACTACACAGAGTGTGATATAAAAAAGTTGTTAATTTTATTGGCTAATCAAGCATCATGAGACAATATATATTGCAACGTATCCATTGGCTATTCTTTAGGCCATTGATGACTTTGAAAGGTTAAGCCAATGTACATTTCGTCAATGGCAACGGAGATATGTGATTTCTTCAATAATATACAAAACATTCAAACTTTTCAGAATTTAAAAGCAACTTTTCTGGTTTGTAACTGTCAACTAAATTATTTATAAGAAATGGAGCAGACGTTTGAGTCAGTACTTGTAATTGGATATGACAGTCCTAAGCAGACCAGTTTTGAAGAGTTGGGCCGATAGTTGTCCCTGGGACATTTTATTTTCATAGTTTGATTCATTTTGTAAATGTATATTTAGTTATGATTAGGTTTGAAGAAAAACCTTGTTTGTTTGATGGTGTCAGCATTGAAATCACCGATTACTTTGTCCATTTTGAGACAGTTTCTCTTTGGAATCAGTGGAATGAATTTGAGATGGCATGTCAGTTAATAATGAATTTGAGAGGTGATGCTCAAACTATTTTACGTTTCTTAAAAAGGCCACAGTTGTATGAGTATGACTGCTTGAAAAATGTTCTCATTCAGAGGTTCAATCCTAAGGAGAGGGTGGCATATTTTAAATTTCAGCTGCGAGTTTGTAGTTTGAAGGAAAGTGAAACCATTTCTGAATTTGGTCAGCGTTTTAAGATACTAGCACATAAGGCTTATCCTGATAATTTTTCAGATTTAGATGTGTATTTTACTGCCTTATTTACATCATGTTTGAATATTGAGATGACTAAATTTGTCACTTTTAAGCACCCTCATAGTTTAGATGAGGCTTTATCACTAGCTATTGAATATGAAGCTGTTCATTTTACTGGTGATCCAGAGACTATTGATGAGTCAGAAAGTTTAGATTGTTGTAATACGGTTCATAACAATTTTGAAATTTTAATGAATATATTGAGGAGGCGACTGAGATCATGTAGGAAACGTAAACCTAAGAAATGTTTTAAATGTCACCAGTTAGGTCATATCAGGTCTAAGTGCCCAAATGTGTCTCTTAAGAGTCCATGCTAGAGATGAAAGGTCTGCAGATAGTCAAGTGAAATTCTCAAAAATAGAAGGGATATTAAAGAACAATTTGAATCACAATTTTTGTAGTTCAGATTGTGTTACCTTTGTTTAATGTTTGTTTTTACATTGTGTTGTATATATACAGTTTTACTTTAGGCTTATTTCAATGTGCTCAGAGATGTTACACTTCTCAAATTTGGCTGTTTGGTTTTCTTTCCCCAAGGAAGGGATGCCATGCATCTCATCTTGTTATATTTTTCATTTTTGATTACTTGAATTATGGCTGATCTTCTGTGTAGTTTGAAGTGTAGACTGTTAGCTAGTTGTAGTTGGAATTGGTTTATTTTATGAGTTGATGCTCGTTTGTCTGGATTGTAATCTCTAGCTAAATATTTAGTATTTAGAGAGTTTATAGAAGTCCGACTTCTTGACTTTTATTAGTTATGGCAGAAACCAATAGAGTGATCGTTAAGCTTGAAGTTAGGAACACTTCTAGCTCATACAGATGGACCCGATCCATTATTTAGTAACTTGCACAAAATTTGGGCATCGTACATTTTATTTTGAGAACCTTGCTATAACAATTGGGCATCGTCCAACTTTATTTTGAGAACCTTGCATATAGATGGATCCGATCCATCTCCGATGGTACACCATTTGTGCTACCGTTATCAATAACGCTGGAATGCAGTAATAGAACCCGGTGGTACATGTCAAATGTGCCACTGTGAGATCAAAATTGGTGGACATTGCCTGGTATAACTTTTCATGGATTTCAACATTAGATGTGCCGTTACAATATATGCCGTACCACTGAATATGAAGCCTGCTTATCAAGAAGACTTAAAGTCGCGTCCGTTAACAGATGAAC